GTCATAATGTTTGAATATCTACTCACTCCTTTGAGAGAAGGATACTTCTGTTTCTTTGGTTTATGAATCCCATTTCTGTGAGCTTTGTGGGCTATGATAAAAAAATTGCAAATTAACACAATTGAAATGTTAATTTCCTTAAGGCCTGACAAGCAATCATACAATTTATATGCATCATAAGGGTGGACAATTCCAGTAAAAAGGCGGTATCTTGGCAGGAGACCAGCAGCTCTTTCTGTGGTCTCCCACAAATGGTTTTTTGTCAGTTGTATTTTCAGTTGTGTTGCTTGCTGTATCTGTCATTCATCATAACCTTAGATTAATCATTATCATTTGCCAATCTGTAGCTTCCACTGTATTGTTATACTTTTGTTATTCTGTTAATTGTTGGATGTATGTGAAGTGACATATTACTGTCAATAGCTGTCAGCAGCTCCTTTAAAAAACTTGGTTACCCAGTATTACCCTGTGTAACAGTAAGTAGTTACCCACAATTAAAAACCTGTCATCTTGGGAGCAAGGAAGACCGAATTGCCAACCCCAGCATTAGTGTTTTTATAAGTACATTGCATTGTTTCATTCCTCTTTCAAACCCCATTTGAGTCCTCCCTTAAAATCCAGTTAGAGACACCTCAAACTGATAGAAAGATTTCTTCTACAAAAAAAGTCTACAAAAAAAGTGCCAAGGAAAATAATAGAGAAGGACCAGGCGCTTTTGCAGCATAATCAAGTTATTCAATTTGTTTGAAATATCCTGTGAGCCCATGAACTTCAATTTCAGTTTAAAACCAAACATGTTATTACTAAATTCTCAAATTTTGTCGGTGGATTGTTAAAAATGCTTTCAATTCTATCATTTTTTTAAATCTGCCTACAGATTCAATCTGACCAAAGGGTTTTCCAGGAAGCATCACTCACACTCTTGAACATTTTGACATGCTTTAGAAATTGATTGCATTAATTATTTTACAAGCAACTTTTCGTTAAGAAAAAATATATCAAAGAATGAAAAATAACAGTGATTAGAGCATGACAAAACTAACTGTGATTAAAATCTAGATAGCTAAAAGTATATATTCTTTTTATATGAAAGTTTATGAGAAAGTAGAATTCAACAAGTTCAAAAAAAGTTTAGAAAGTTTAGTTTATGTTAGATTTTTGAAAACTAAGAAAGTTTATAAAATTCAGATACCCCAAATTTAGGAAGAATTGTTAATCAAGAGCAAACTATGGTTTGGATGAAACTTCCTTATAAAAAAACGTTTATTGAATCGCAATAATGCAATTGCCTATAGATGAAGATTTTCAATTTTTCAATTTTATTTTTGAATTTTATTGACCCAAAAAATTTTTTCAATAAAAAGTGAGTTCTCCATTGTTTTTTAAATTAAAAGGTTCATAAATTAGCCTGAAAATATCTAACAAATTAGTAAACATTAGTTTATGTTTACATAGATTCGATTATTGGGGTTTCTTTGTCTGGGAACATGCATCCCATATCATGAATGCCTTGCTTTCAGAATCCAGTTTGAAATCTGCCTACTGGTTTATTCTTGGGATTCAAAATGGAAGAGCTAATCTTAGTCTTAGATGAATTGTTAATAAACAAAAACCTATCACTAAAAAGCAAGGTATTCAGGTGAAACAAAAAATTATTGGGTGTCATCTGTTTGAAAGGTAATAAATATAACACAACAATTTATTGCATCGATGGACTTGAAGTAAAAACAAGGAAAATAACTTACTTTGGTTATGATTTGTGTGATTCTTTGACTTCGCCATTTCAAATATTGGATTCAGGCAGACTAACCCTTATTATACCTGGGCAAGAAAATACAAATTATCTTTTTAAAACGTGGATTGTTGAGTATAGAAAAGTGACGATTGCAGAGATATTTAAAGGTACATACTAATAGATTAGGCCACTTACCACTCGCGATTCAATATGGCCGACAAGAGAATCTTTGCGGCCTCGCTTTCAGATTTACCGGCAGACCAAATTCAGAATCATAATAATAACTCTAACAAGATCTTTTTTGGGAATAGCCTTCTTCGGTTATCAGCCTTCTATATCAGTCTTCTTTATCGAGGAATTCCTCTGTTTGTAAAATCTGTACGCAGGCTACTGCTATATCTGCAGCTTCAATTTTTTATTCTTAACACCTGAAAGCTTGGAATTTTCTTTGTTTTATCTAAACTCCATTTAACATCCCGTCACTGACCTTCAGAAACCCTTGTACTACTCGTGTTTCATCTGTGCCCATTTCTTCATTGTCCTTCAGTTTGGCTGCTATCTTCAGAAAAGCATGTTTCATAAGAGAGAGAATATCAGTAGAACATGTCACTTCAAGATTGACAAATATTTGACAAATGCTCAAAGTTTCAGTTTCATTTGATCATCAATCTATACTATATAGAATACTACACAATTATATTACAGATAAAACAGTGCCAATTTAATAACATCTAATACAAGCAAAGGGAATGACATTACATGATTGTATATGATATAGAGCTCTCTAAGTAGGTAAACTAACCGAGAGAGAGCCCCCCCCCCAAAAAAACAAAGAAAACTAAAGAAAAAACATTAATTATATAAAAAATATGAAGAACCAGATGTACCCCAAGGAAATGACGTGTCATGGTAATTCAGAGGAAGAGAGAGAGACAGACTAGACATAAGCGTCAATATAATAAGCTTTCAATTTAGACCGAAAACATAAATGGAGCCTGCTACTCGAATGAAAAGTGGAAGAGTATTCCAAAATTTTGAGCCAAGATATTGGACCGTTTGGAGTCCGTAAAAGGTGGTCCTTTTTAGGGAAAGTAATAGATCGCCCCTGGTTGACTGACGAGTTCCAATACTATGAACAGAAGAGTTTGGAGTAAAGTAGTTATGAAAGCAGACAGGTTTAGAATTTGTTAATGGCCTTATAAGCAAAAGTTGCTATATTTAAATGAAGTACGTCCTGAAGTTGAATTATCTTTAATGAATAAAATAAAGGTGAACAGAACATAAACAGGCTTAGTGAAACAAGTAATGTTCAAGTACATTACAAAAATTACAGACAAAAGTTAGGCTGAAATTCAAAGGTAAATGGTGCAAAATAGCATTTCCTATATTATTCTTAAAAACTGGATAATTCTGAGGCTGAATATTTTCATAACTATTATTGTAAGAAAAAGGAATATAACAGCAGCTTTTCACAATGCAATAAAATGTTGGTTTGTTCGAATAAGCTCCCAGTTTGAGGCCTTCCCAGGGGGTACTCACTACTTTTCTATACATGGGTCCATATCAGCAACTTTTTTTGACTCCCAAATATTGAGTTACAGTTTTGAAAAACCCCAAATATTGCGTCTCAATATTTTGAGACCCTAAATATGGTTATATATTTTGAACTACCACTTTATTTTAAAAGAAACATATTTTAAAACTGAAAATTAATAAGTGCCACCCCCGTTTATCCGGAACCTAAGAGGAATGGCTGACTTACAATTGAGTAATTTTAATGTAATTAGATAACCATCGCAGTAATGAAGATTTATTTGAAACATTTAGGTGTAGGCAATCTCTGGATATGATTTTGCGATAAGGTTGTCATTCTTATATGTGAATGAAGAAAGCCAAATAAAGATTTGAGCCTCTACTGATTTACGTGTTTTATTGTTGTTTATTCTCGGATCTGTCATTCTTATATTTGGTTTTCTTTTACAACTTTGTTTTCACTTCTCAGACCCCAAATATTGAATTTTTCTTAAGCTGTAATTCACAGACCCTAATTATATTTTTTCCTTTAAAATCTCAGACCCCGAATATTGGCATGGACCCCCTTTGTAGAAAAGTAGGGAGTACCCCCCTGCGGAGGCCTTGATCGCTTATTCGTGCAACTAGAGAGATTCTTTCATAATAGCTCGCTTCATGGGAAAACTTGCTCCTCAAATCGTAAAATACTTTGCACTAAACATTGCATTCTTGGCTAAACTTGATAGCATTTTGTTACTCCAGCGTGATGTTACTCCCCCTCAATGGCAATAAAACATCAACATTAATCTTTCGTTTACGTCAGCTGAACTTTTTTTAGACATTTTTAGCTTACCATCTCGTAAATATTTTATCAGTCACGTAGCAAAGTGAGCGTTAGTGTCTTATTTTTGCCCATCTTAATACGTTTATTAATGCTATTTAACCGAGGTCGATAAAACATTAATATCCTTCAATTTATCATTTCCTGCAAATGAAAGAGCTATGTTGCGTTTTCATTGACATCCACAGAATTTCATTACTCTCTTTCAGCCTCATGTTTTTAACCGTTTATTGTGTCCTGTTTTTTCACACCACTGAAAAATCGAACGCTGAAATTATCATTATCTAAATAATTTGACAATTTCAATTTTGGAAGTAATTAACTAGAAAACGGAAACAATTAAATTTATATGTGTTTGAATTAAAAGTAACATCCATTTTTGCATAAATTGGATATCAGGCCAATAAACTTCCGATTTTTGAACACACGCTGGAGGCTTTTTGCCACATTCCCACGGCAAAGAGTCTCCAATTCGCCCCCAGGTACCTGCTAAGGGGACATCGATCGATCTTTTCATTTCCAACTTCCACACTCCCTCCCGAATCTTCCAATGATTCATACTGGTTCTCCTGGCTAAAAACATGAGCCCTGCTTAAACTAAATTCATAAAAGCCCTCGCAAAACAAATCAAACATCAACTAATATCAGCATCCAACATTGTGTGCTAAAGCATGTTTTCTAAACACCCAAACTTTCTAGAACTATTATCCGACACAGAAGGTTGTGTTACCAACTGTCTCTTCTTCTTCCCAAATAGTTCTGCAAAGATTGTTTCAAATATAGTTAGCACGAAGTCAGTTCCAACAAATTGCTTCTTAAACTATGCTTGACCAACGAAATCGCTTTCTTATACCGATTATCTAGCTAGATGCTTGCAAATTTTCGAAAGCAGGATATGAAAAATACTCACAATTTAAATGTCATCCCAACCATTATATACAAAATTCTAGTACAAAAATTTACACTGCACGGCGGTCTAATTATAAAATCTAGAATCGAGCTAATCATAAATTCTACAGAGTTAATCAAAACTGATGAACATGAAAATGGAAAAATAGAATTACAAAAATATGCACCATTTAATTAAAATTGAAAAAGGATGTGTGCTTTCAATGCAAAACAACTTTTCTGCATATCCGAACGAGGCAAAGGTTAGAAAAAGAGGCGCCACTCTCGACTATCAAGACGGGAACATCATCTTGAATTCGTGTTATGTCACTGATTCACGCTTCGACTTTGACTCGTTCGGTATTCAGATCCCGACATTATGGTATTCCGTTATAGAAATAGTTCATCTAAAATTCTCAAATAACATATGTAAAAAACACAACATCAGTAACTAGAGGTTTTTAACCTCAATTCTATATACATACAACAGGCGAGATATTTAACACGACAGTAAAAGGGAACGATCTACTTTGTTACCCTTGATTCACATTGAATTGCTTTATTTGTCCACATCATCCTCCCCGCTTAGTTTATCTTACAAAGGTAAAAATCCATTGCTTGAGGCAGCCTCGTTTTAGACAGCACTGACTGTTCTCAATGTTCTCTAACAGCTTTTTGATGAATAGTCAGAGGCCTCGCTCTTAACAGAATATGGACTTGACGTGCCCACCTCGCTTCCACTTGGGGTGCGAAAAGACACCCTTGTTCTTTCCAAATCAAGCAACTGCTGCATGAAGTTGAAGTTTGGGGAAATGTTGCTCTTCTTTGCTTTCACAAAGTCGTAGGCATCGTTCAAGGAGTAGCTATGTTTGAGCATCAGATATGCTATTACGATGGTGCTAGAGCGAGACACGCCTCCTACGCAGTGAACCAATACGTTCTCTTCCGAGTCTCTGGCTTGTTCTAAAAAAACAAAATTTTTGTCAAAAATCGATGGTCCTTTCGATCAACTCTAAAGTTCACATTAGATATGCATGCTAGCTCTAAACATACCAGGTTTAGTTACAGTTTTACAAAGAAAGGTGCTAGGAAGTAGAAACAAGAGGCCGGAATTGAAACTACGACTACCCTTCTAGCCCTGATGAAGGAGGTTAAAAGGGGCAAAAGGTCCAAGAACCGTACTACTTTCAGCAACTAATGATATGGAATCAACGCGTGTAAGTAAATCACAGAGAAAAACGATGACCACATGTCCTTGAAGCTTGAACACAATGTTTTTGCATAATCTTGTTAAAATCCTTAAAAATATTTGTCAAGCGTTTCCTTAGTTCTAGGGGAGACTGAATTTTCTTAGGGGGAGAGGGGGGGTAGTGTTGGGAATCACTCTTGGGCTCGTGAAGGCTCTCGACGGCCCTGTTAGTGAACATCCCAAATTAGTGCTGCAAAAAGTCGCGGTGATGGAAAAAGTAATTTCGTCAAGAAATAAAAAATACAACACACCAAAGAACTCCCAACAAAAAGATGTCATGTCTCTGACCAAAATGCAGCTAAGGATACATTTGGAATGCATTTATTCTTAGAAGGAGAACATTTAGGTAGCGACATTTTTGATATAATGAAAAGTGAGCCAAACATTAAACACAGAGAACAGTTGAGTTGCACAAAAATGAGGAAGAAAGGACAGTGGCGGAAATTTAGGCTTTCATTTAGGGGGAAGGTCTACGATTTTACGACAAGAAGTCATCTTGGATCATGTCTAATTTCAAGGAAACTGCAAATTATGATGAAAATAGGTGATTTTTGGCGGGAACGTGTAGAAATCTATAGTGTGTTTGATTATAGGGGGCGGGCTCGCCCCCCCCCCATACCCCCATAATTTGCGTCCACGAGAAAGGACGTTTTTCAGAAAACTGAAAGACGACATGCCAGAAACCTAATTTTCATGCCTCCAGGGAACCAGTTTTAGATCGAACGAAAGCAGGACACTTCCTCTGGTTGTTGTTCATGGGGCAAACAAATATTTGTATCGCTAGAGAAATAACAAATTTGCGCATAAACGTAAACAAAGGCTCTCACTGATTAGGCAAGTTTGTTTTTTATCATTTGATCCTCAATGACACAAAAGAGCACCGAGAAATGAATGACAATTCTGGAATGATTGTGGAAAATCGAAAGGACTTCGAATGAAACACATTATCACAGCAAATTACTCACATGATACAAGGGAAGAAAAACGGCTCATCGCGCGAAACAAACGATTTCCTAGCAATTATTTCAGGCCAAAGCACCGCTTTGAATAAAAGGACTGCATGAATTCGTAAACTCTCGGTTGGATCATCAACATCCCATTTAAAATCTTTAACGAGCACTTAATATTTTAATTCAAAACAGATGGTACGATTCTTTCATTGAAGTCGAACAAAATTATCCGAAATACAGTGTCATAGTGGGACAGGAAGGTATCAATCATCAATTCCTTTCCTTTAAATAATATTGTTATGGCTAACTTGTCGACGAATGAAACTTGTTTCGTAGCAATCATATCCTATTTTTAAGAACGAAAGCTTGAACTAGGTTCAATTTTGTTGATACACTACTTCAAACAATTTACACAGTTGACTGTTCAAAGAAATGGCTAGAAAGATATTCTATAAACCTATAAAACATCAAAAAAATTATAAAAGCAGAATTTACAAATTTATACAGGGAATAGTAACAGAGGTATGTACAAGCTTCGGTACAGCGCCGTTGCGAAGGAGCAAACAATAGAAAATTGAATGATTCATTGTACAAAGGCCTGGAAGATTAAGCTGTGTTGGCAAAAAGATTTACATAGCTAACAGATTTTTGTTATTAGATGGAAACATAACGAATGGTTTAATGGGGATTATGTCAGGACCAAAAATAACTTTTATCTAATATCTAGCAAGAATTGAAAAGACAACACTGGGCACTGACCAGAATAAAAACAAAGGGCAACACCCTGGGACTTCTTGCAAAGAGGTCTGTGTACTGCATAGAAATTCAAGCAGCTAAATTTGAATGAACACAACTCAGGGTTCTGTAAAAGCCATTCAAAGAAAAACTGAATTATCCAAGCTCTGAATTGCTGCCAAAACAAAGGAGATTTTGGCTGATATTTCAAGTATGTCATTAAAAATCATGAATGATTCATTCATCTTCATGGAGCTCAACCAATAGTTTATGAAAGAAGTGTTATTTTAATAAAGCTGCAAACCACAACACCTCTAAACACAAAAACAGGCTGCTGAAGTATCTTGAAAGATAACAGCGAACACAGCAGAAAAGCACAAGGAAAGTTTTACATCTCAAGAAATAACATCTTTCTTCTGATGTCATCACATTACTGAGAGTCTCTCCAAACCACAACTCATGGACAAAAAAGTTGGTCTTTGCAGCCAAATTTGTTTTGAGTCCTGATATAATTGCACTCTCATGTTACGTGATAGTAGCCCTATTCTCTGGGTGACATGTGGCTCACAACAGGTTATGTTACATGATCAAGTTTTATCAGCACAGGATTTCAATTTATCTTTGGAAATTTATCTTAGGATTGTGAGTCTTGGTTAAAATTTCTTAATCCAATCATCCATACATACAGTGAATGGACCATTCAAAATATCTTTTTTGTTCTTTACAACAGCATATAAAAAAATTATAATGCGAGGGTCATTCCATATCAAAGGGGACAGCCATGTCACCCACCCTCTCAGAATTTGCTAATTTTTTGTGCAAATGTAGGTAAAGATGGGATAAACAGAAATTGAAAATTTCAAGTGAATATCTGAAACATTTGAAACTTTATGTTTTTCGTCGCAATTTTTCGAGATCCGCCATTTTGAATTTAAAGCGTTTTTTGAACAACCTGAACTGCCAAACGCACTGTGTTCCATGTGTGTTTAATGGCAGCAATTAACCTGAAAACTGTGCATGGGAAGATTATCTTCTGAATCACACAACTACATTTCCATCACAATTTAGAATTCTAATAAGTTTTCACACCACAGTTTCTAAAATCAGGATTCTCTAAACTCTGTAACAAAATAATTTTGAATCTTAAGAAGCAATTGCCATATGGTGAAATATCCAGTCTTTGCTCCAGAAAACCCTGTCACGTTTTATTGAGCAGCTTGGCTTAGTGGAATGATCATAGGTTTAGATGCAGCAACTAGGAGTTTGAATTCGACCAAGAACAGTAATAAGAAACTTGACATAGATAATGTGAAAATATATTTTCACCTGTGTTTTTAGGGGTGAAATGATCACTGGACATGCATGCAAAGATCAAGGGGGTTGGATTTCTTTCTTAGAGTAACAAAATTGAAACCTTAAAATGTTGGTTCCATGATTCTGAAAGAATTATGCAAAAAGCAACTTGACTCAATAGGTTTTTCATAGAAACATATTTTCTTAAGAAACATATCATCTGAAAAATATTGGACTCCATACAAAGTAAATTGAACATTACTCTAGATATTTAAAGACCAAAAAAATTGGCTCAGGCCCTTGTGTTATAAGGCAAGGAATAGTCCCTGAGGCATATATAGGCCCATGGCAAGCAGACACATATTTATTTCTAGCATTATTCCTACTAGAAGCCACTGTGCATTCCATATAAACCTCACTCCCAAGGTGTATGCCAAAGTTCATATGCAATCATTTCTCCCTATTATATTCCTAAGGCAAATTACTAATACAAGGGCATTTATGTAGTAGTTAACACAAAAAATCCCAGAAAGAGCTTTGTGCTGCGTAACTATCCCATTTCACTAAAATTACAGTTTACACCAAATGCCAGCAGATGGTATTCTCACAACAAAGCCACAAAAAATAACAAAACTCCACTGCAAAGATCTTCTGGGTTTGCAACATGGAATGCACCCTGGACCACAAGGTATAACAGAAAGAAAGACAATACAACCAGCAAATCAGCAAGAATCATCCAATCTGTGTTACTTTATGAACAGAGTCATAAAGGTAACAGAGTCAATATATACCAACCAAGCGGGTAGTTGTAGTAAGTAAGGTGATAATTGAGATGTTGGGATACAGCTTAACATGATAACCTCCCCATGCTAACAAGAGCATGGTATCTCAACCTTACCCAGAATGCTAATTAATGCAGCCCTTATTAATTTCCATTCTCACAGCATCAAAAGTACAGGAACCCTTGAGAGCACCTGGAGGGGCAGAGAAGAGCAAGATTAATACAACATATGGAGCCACATTTAACTTAGAAATATGTAAGTAATTTAACTTACCAATAAAAGCAAATGCTTGTGGAAATAGGCTTATGAGGTTTCCTTCCCAATTATCTTCCACAGGTAACTTCAGATAATTAAAACTTGTTTCATTCTCGAATTCATTTGGCAAATCATGTGTGACATTCAAGACATATCTGATTTTATGATCCTCCAAGCACTTCCTATCCACAGAATCCTTCTTATTGCCAAGAAAAAGATGGGGAATGATCTCAATTGGCCCTGAGCTCTCTGGCCTGTACCTGCATGGCTCCTTTCTCATTTGAGGGTACTGTGGAAGTTTGAAACAAGGGTTGTTGTTATTGTTGCTATCATTTGAATCTGTGATCTTCAGCGCTGAGATACTGAAGAGAGTTTTACCGATTTCATTTCCTTCACCACATTGACAAAGGTGAGGATAGCATTCTTCAAAGCGACTGAAACCCCCTGAAAAATCAATAAAAATAATACTGTTTACAAAAATGGTTGAAATACACAATCATAGCCATACGCATTAGTGGTGTTTCCCTGATCCCAAAAAAGTTACACATACTATTTAAAGTCTTTATATTGCCCTGCCAAAGTAAGAAACTACAGAAAAAATCAATTTGTGTCTCGATTCACAACATTCTGAGTACAACTGCTAAGCCAAATGAGAGAAAGAAATATGATTTCCAAGAGGGCCGGGTTGTCTGAACAAGCCCCTGTTATTGAAAATTTTCTTTCATTCCAGGAAAGGAGCTGAGTAAAAAGAAAGCCAGTGTTGACTGGTCCAAGGTACATCATTTTGGCGTTTCCGCCATCTTTGCCAATGCATCTCACATTAGAACCGACCACCAACCATAAAAATTACAACGTCCTTCCGTTAACACAGTATGAATAGGACAGCCTTTCTTTTCCCGTTGACCTTCCGAGTTGCACTCGTGCTGGCTACATTTATGTGTGCTCTTACTCGTTACCTTTTCCGTCCTGTGGTTGTCTATAAAAATCTACCGAGTTAGAAACAGGATGACCAAACCCACATTGTGGTAATAGGCGATTTCCGTTGCAGTGACTCGAAAAAATACTCCATAACATTCCCTTTAGAGTGTTAAACTCGATTACAATAAAACAAAAAGAAATTTTTGAGGGATTTTCACCGTTTTGAAAATAGAGCATATCTTTGTGCTATAGCTCCAAGGAATTCGGCGGAATATCCTTACCATCTTCAATGACCGTCCGTGATTTTTGAACATAAATTAATAATTAATGTTTTTTTACTACATTCTATTTATACAAAAAGGCTAAGTGTGCTAATAAGATTCCAAAAAACGTCAAAATTAAAAATTAATTGAACGATTACTTTCAAAACACAAATGCAAATAAAAATTGCAAACTTTTCATTTAGTGAACATATAATTTGAGTCAATGCACCGACAGAGTCAGAAAAGATACAGTCAAGCAACAGGCCAGCTACATCTCATTTCTTTAAACTGTTGATAAAATTAGTTGAACTGTAAATTTCAATTTCATGATGGATTTTCTTGTAAATTGCATGGTATCAATTTCATGCAAAGCGAGCTTCACTGGCATGGCGGTGTTTAGTCCATGGCTCAAAATAAAAAACCATAATTCTAAGAGACTTACCCTCAAGAAAGCATACTCTACAATCTTCTGACAACTTGGAAATAAGGAACTTCAGGACGTTGTTCTGCAAGTTATCCCTCTTGCTATTTGAATCACAAATAATGATCCTTTCAAATTGAGCACGGCGTTGGAATTTCTCCTTCGATGCATCGGAATTCAACAAAGTTGAAAGAGATATGTTTCCTTTCCGAAGCCTTCGTAAAACAAGGTCAGATATTTGTAAATTAATGGCACCTTCAATGTGAGCTTGGCAATATTCTGAAAAAGGTCTACAGTCAATTATAAGCAAATTGGCACCTTGATCTAGCTGGCAGTAGAGCCAGGACGGCTCTTCGGACGTGCAAGTCGTAGGCCCATTATCTCTTTCTATTCTGGTGTGTGACTTCGGGGTCTCGCCTAGAACTAGGCAAGGCATCATGTCAGTTATGTATTTAAGGCAGTGGCTTTGTGATGAATTACTTGCTTTTGCCAATCTTCGACTTTGCGACCTGTATCAACCGATTGCAGTGTGTGCAACTTCTCCCTTGATCAATGTTCCCCTCATATTTATATAAATAATAGCGCCTCTCTGAAAAACATGATATTGTCTCTAAAAAGCATTCATCCAATCATGAACCGAGTTGAACAAGAGATATTATTCGAACAGCCAATGAAAAAACTGTGACATTTCTCTTGTTTTCTGCAATTGTCTAGTAATTATTTGCTAATTTTTGTATAAAGAGCAAATAACCCAATCAAATTTCTATTTCAATACAATACGTATTATTCTCATGGGTTGCTAGCCAATCACAAAACGAATCCTTCTTTTGTTTATGAGGGCCTTTGTTATTCATTACGATTGGGGTCGGATACAAAACAAGACAAATATGATCTCCTCACATCTTGTGTCAAACGGTCTCTCGTTTTACCGGATGTGGCCTGTTTTCAATTTTTCTTGAATCTTTTTTGATGGTTTAAATCATTACAGAAGACGGGGGTAAATGATTTCAAAAGGTTGCACCCATTTCACAGATTTCTGTACCCATGATCACTTTTAAAGGAGCTCTTTAATATTTGTTGAGCCTAAACATTTTCAGAAATTTTTTTTTCTGTTCTGAACCTGAGATTATTTTCAATTTATTCTTAAGAAGAAGATTGAAATCTTTGCCATTTTTTTTTCGGGCTTGTTAGCTCGAGAACCTCATGTAGATGAAAAGTCAAATTGTCGATAAGATTCGAGCTCTTATCAAAATTTTGTCGCAATTGGCTCATTTCGTTAATCTGAATACTGTGAAAAGAAAGTGTGGTTTCAGTTTCAGATTTTCTAACATATTTCTGATTTCCAATTAGGATGTCTTGAAAACTGGCTATATAAAAAGGTATTAGGCTTGACTTTGATTAAAACTAGGCCTAGATTACTCTTAGAAATAAATAGCACCAAGCGGCATATAAAGAGGGATAGAGGGTGTTATATGGGACAAAGGAAATTCAACTGCATGCTTTAATACGTCGCCAATGATAAAAATTGCCATTTTCTGCCATCTATCATATTGTTAAATCATATACACCACGTCTACCCATTTTTTCTCTTTTGCGAAAATGATTGTGGTTCAGTTTAGGTGCCCCGGGTACAAATCTTGAATGAGATACTCGATAATATGGTCAAGATTAACTCACGGAAGAAAATCATTTTCAACAAGCGTTGCTAGATTTGAATTAGGATTTGTCCGAATTTCAGTATATTTCTAGAAATTGAACATAGCTGCTCAAAAAAGTTATGTCACCCCCTGAAAAATGTGAGTCAAAGATTACATATTTGTTTTCAAGATTTCTGGCATAGCTAAAAAAGATAGGTTTGCAAGATTTTTCCAAAATTGGTCATAACACCGTGGCGCCACAGTCTAGGCCACTGGCAAGTACGTAGTTTGTGGGAGGGAGCTTTGCGGCAAGTGAGCCGCTATGCTGCAGCATTGTTTTATCGACGTCACACATATCTTCCGGAAACAACAGACATTTTTTAACTTGGCGTATTTTTTTTTGACTCACTTACTTCAAAATACTTGAAAACATATATGTCTATCTTAGTAAAACTCTGTTGTATATGTTTGTAACTCCAGCCATTTTGTCTTATGTAACTTCTCTCAAACCTGTAATTAAGACACCAAGATGAAAAGTGATCAGAATTACTTTATTTATCTTCTTATCAGTAGTGTAGCGAGAGGGGGCATAGCTCAGAAATTTGGTGTCTTCAAAAAGTGCAAATCTGCAATAAAAATTACTACCTCAGAAGAGGAGGGGGGAGTTTATATCTCAGACAAAATCAAAACATTCTTAAAGAATGCAAGCAAACGACTGTAAGAAATATTCTGAAATTTATTTCAAGATAATCTAAAGGGCGTGGTGGCAAAGCTTTCTTCTCGCTTCGCATGCAGGGGCTTCTAACTTAAGGTTTAACATAGAAAAGTCTTTCACGCTCTTTAGACCTTCCTAATAAAATAGAAATTAAGATGCTAAAGCGCTTCAATCCTTGAAAAAACTTGATTCTGAAATGCTTGTCGGGGCTTTTGCAAATTTTGCTCCAAGGAGAACAGACTTAGTTTTAAACTTTTGAATACTGTTTATTATTTTTTGGCTACTTTGGAAAATCAGTTTTTCCACGAAGATCTTCCTCGCTTTACACAATTCAGAATATAAACATTAGAGAATTTGTGAAGAAAAAAAACAGTTGCAGACTGGGATCAGCAACAAAAGGCACATATGGCGGCTATTGTGTTTGATTAGCCAACCATTGCCACGTAAGAAGCCATAGCTTTTCCAAACGCTTTTGCAAAATGGGGTGTTTTCCCAAATTCTTAAAGGGTGTTGATAGCAAAAATTGTCTCCTCTTTGTCCCTCCAGTCTTCCAACCCTGGCTACGCATCTGCTTCTTGTCTTCTTTATCTTAGAGTTGAATACCGAATCTATTTACCAGTGTCTAACACCACCCAATCATTTTTGCTCAAATCCGTCCCTGCTCATGTTTTTTGTGAAATGTTCTTATAAGACGAGTGTATGGTTTCACAAAAGACAGTTTGTAGAGTACTGGCATATTAATATGGTTAAGTATTTGTGACTAAATAGGGTAACAGAGAATCCTGAAGCAGTTTAAACCCTGTTGTTACGCCTGGTTGGGATACGCCTCATCACGATAGAGGGTCTCCTAGGGGTTTCCGGGAACACGGGAACATGGTAAATATTGGACAGGAACACGGGAACAACTTAAATTTTCACTGGGAACATGGGAGCATTTTTACTAGTTTAAGAGAATAAGGGAACATTATTTTATTTTTTCACGGAATTGACCCTTTCTTGAAAACTACTTCTTGTTCCTGAATATTTTAAGAACGTGTCAAAAATTGAATTAAAACAAAATATACCCTGAGTACCGGCAAACATGGTACCGGAGACACAAAATTTCGAGATCGAAAAAAGAATGCCAAACTGAGAAGCGGAGGAGCGTCTTCTTCTTACATCTGCCAGTTAATTTTCTTTAATGGTTTCAGATTTGTAACTGTGATCAATTGTTACGCAAAAGTCGAAAGTCAGTCCAAGAATACAAGCAATTTAATGGTTGAAAAACGAGGCAATTCAACTTCTTGTTCTTATCATTGTAACTTTTGACGCCTATGAAAACCTTTAAAAATAACCTCAAAACGAAGATGCAAAGTTGTGATTGTGACAGAATAAATTCATTCTCCACATTCCAAATCGACGTCAGAGAAAATTATCAGCTTTCGTTAAAGTGGTAAATGGGCGTTGATCCGTTTAATCCGCGCGTGTTCGACTTGACGTCATCAAAACATTATGCAATGCCATAACAACGAGTAAATCATTCGTGTAAAATTCCTCGGTAAACAGCGTAAAAAAGGAAACAAACAAATTATAATATAAAATCTATCAGCACACTAGAAATTCCTATTTCACAGGAACTGTTTTAGCTAATGCAGTTTTCCGTAGTTTTCCCCATGGTGTTACCAATTATGGCGATGTGTGAAGATGCATGACGTTAAGAATTATGCAAACAATAATCACAGAATTGATAGACTAATCTCTATTCTGTGCTATATATAATCTCTAACTTTGATTTGTTCTTGTTGTCGTTGCGTCTTGCGTTGCATTGCCTTTTTACGATCTTTCTTCACTAAAGAACGACTTACCAGATCAAAGAATATAAGTTAGGTCATATTCTGTGACCAGATCTTCAATACGATTGGGTATCGCGTAAGCCTATGTGGTGGCGAATTATTTCCTACACTACACTTTTGGTGTATATAACAGGGCGCAGTTCTAGTTCGTACTCCGAGCTTCACGCTTAATGCGATCATCAGGCAACAGAAAAATTCTGGGACTAGATTAAAACTTTACTTCTGTCACTAAATTATAGAAACTCTGGCACTCAAGGCAATATCGGTCATACAACACTGTTATTGAAGAATGGAAGGGAGGAAGGGGGGAAGGGCCCTTCAAAGTTATGGCCGACACTTTTCAAGGGCCTTCAGAATTTTCAATCTTGAACTAAAAAGCGTTCTTTCCATATTTCAGTATTTTTATGTCAAACTTTGCATTCTTCCCAACTTCACAACACCAATATTGGCAGTTTAGCGCTGACGTCAGTTGCAACGTGGACATTTACGAATGAAAATTTTTCAATTTTTGAATTATATACAGACGATTAAAAAAATACAAAGACTAAAATCGACTGAATAATAACAGTTATCAGACTATCTGATTTTTTTAATCGGTAATGTTAGGTAAAGCCAAGGGAGCCTATAGAAAAGCCTTCACTAGAAAAAGGAGACAGGACTGATTACAAAAAGAGAGAGCCTGCACCGTGCTATGGTGATTCATGATTGCTACTGTGATAATGATGAGGATAATTAATGATCGAAGTGATGATTGTTGATTCCTAAAACCTTTCGCCTCCCCAGGAAGGGCTGGCAAAAGTGGGACCATGATCCGTGGCAATCTTTGTTTCTTTCTCCCTTTTAATTGTTTATCTGCTTGATGTATCCTAGCAAAGGAAAGGCGGGTGCCATAGACGATATATACGCAGATACGGAAAAATTTTAGTTGATGCATGACCAGTAAAGATGGTCAGTTGCTCGACACGTCGCCTTTGATCGCTCGCTGCTGAGTCTAGATCATCACTGCCCCCCCTGTCATGATCTTATTTTCTTCATTTTGCCCATTCAACAATCTAAAGAGTTATCCGTGGTCCATTACAGTATGTAAACCGAGTAGTGGGGTTCAAAAGGATAATAACAGGTGTGCTACAAGAATCTATACAAAGAGTGTTTTGAACATTCTGCTAAAAATATATTTCTTTGCAAAACTTCGCCCGTTATTAAAAGCACGTTTCAAATAGAAACAGTCAGGAAACCAGAAATCTAAATAGTTTTTGTCTTTAGGCGGTACCTAATTACATTTCATTAATATTCTGAGTACTTTATGTTGCATAACTTACATATCTCTGTTATGATATCTTGAAATAATAAGGGATCGATTATGTGAAGAAAATGCATAAAAAAGTCAACTACACTA